GGTTTTTTTTGATGTATTAGCCATATTAGATCTAGTAATGTATTAGTTACCATAATAAAGGAAACTAATTCATTTTATTTTTTATCTATACCTGGTTAATTGTATACTAATTAGATTGAAACAAGAAATTTTCAATATAATGTAGGTGCCGAGACTTCGACTTTTCAGAAATAATTTATAAATAGACTGATCGACAAATCCGAAATTGGTTTTGTTAGTATGAAATAAATATTATATAAAAATAATCTAAGTATAAGAAAATTTTGTTTGTAAAGCTTATCCGGGTCTACTTGATCTAATGCCTCTCTCTGACCTTCAAACCTTTGCATATAGCATTTTAAAAAATCTTAATGATGAAATCGTCAGAGATAAAGAATTTACGAAGCTTGATACATGCTCAGAATGTGATAAAAAAATTCTTATACACAACTACGAACCATTGACAATCCTCTCATGTGGTCATGTATACCACAGATATTGTGTTGAAAAATTTTTACTTACGAAAGAAAATAAATGCCCTAGTTGTGATAAGGTCATTGAGCCTAAAATATCGTTAGAAACACCAATTAATTCTCCCAATCTTAGTAGTAAAAAGCGGGGTAGTGATTCTACAGAAAAATTCTCTAGTAAAAAAATTAAGCCAGTTAATAGGGATAGTTCACCAACTTTAAAGAAGTTAATTAAAGAATTGACTACTCCAATTTCCAGGCAAATTTCATCAGAAAACATTATTACTTTACAGTCAGATATTTCTGAAATGAACATAGATTCAGTTAATTTTCACGAATTAAATGAAAAGATTATCAAAGCTGAAGATAATAATCAAAAAACCAATCAAGTCGTAATACGTTCATATTATTATTTCGGAAAAGGATATAATTTATGGTATGATTTTTACAGGCAATCTAATAATGAGGACACGTCTAATGCTTTAGTTAATGATAAAATCCGAGAGCATATTCCTGATCAAGATAAAATTACTGAGACTAACCTTCGAAAAAGAAAAGAAAGTGCTAAAAAAGTTTTCAAACTTTTCAAT